TATACTGCTGTTGCTGGATTCATTTACGCCGTTACTACACGGCAAACGAATTATCGTTCTCTTCTCATCATTGAAGTTTTGAAATGTTTGAATAACCTACCTCACTTTCTCTTTTACATTTTCTTAGTGTATATCTACGTTACTTATTTTGTATTTTAATAAATAATGAACGTAACGGCACCATCGGTTAAGTCATCGATGCACTTAATCGGTTTTATAATGTAATTACTGTTTGAGTTCGAACTGTAGTGTAGATTATAAAATATAAAACTTCAAAACAAATAAAGTTTAAAGTTTCTATGCGATCGTAGTCGGGTACTTCTAGTTCATTAATTAAAGTAAATAATTTTCAAACAATATATTAAAATCTATAACCGTATAACTGTCAACAGGCACGCTTAGGTGTTTCAGAAAAAATCTAAGCTAATTCTAATATGTCCTTTCCAACTGTAACGTCTTTTCGTAGCTGTTCGATGCTTTGTTGTAGTAAAACATACTCATGTTCAGATAAATCAGTATACTTTTTCATTTCACCAACTCCATTCTTGTCAACTTCGATACATCCTGAGATGAATGAAGTCCCAAAATCATTATTTTCGACAAAAGCGTTAGTGTGACTTATGTGGCCATTTAAAGCTTCTAGTATATTTTCCGTGAATATAGAAACGCTAAATGCAATTGACAATGCGGGAGCATATATTCCATTAGCTATATCAGAGATGTTATAATTACGAAGTTTCGCAATGAGCTCTTGATTTTTTTCTTCCGAAAGCTTACTTTTAGGATTTGCTTGAGATATTAACGGTACCATGGTTTCTTTAGAGTGACCACCTATTACTGGTACAAAACATTCACTAGGCTTAAATTCATTCTCTGCAGCATATAAAGCTTGCGCTTTAATTGTATCAATTGTAGTAATGCCCAATAACTTGGCTAGATCGGTACAACCTTGATTCCTCATTATCTCTGCGGCCATCGGCACAAGCGTATTAAGGGGCTCCGTTACTATCCCTAAGAATGGTAACGGACTTATTTTGGCTACTGACATGGCAATATTTTTTATAAAATCAGCATTTTTTGACAATGTTGACTTCGTTATCCATCCTGTGTTTTGAGAAACATCTCCAGCAGCAATAACTAAACTGGAGCCTTGCAAAGCTTCTTCTAAAGTTTCTTTTCCAGTGTAACCTTTTATTGTTGAATTTGAGGGAATATGTGATAAATCCAATACTATTCCAGGTATGTGCTCGAGATAGTCGTATAAAATTAACTTAGTAATATGCGGGTTAGTTCGTAGTAGTAATGCAGTGGTTTGTCCAACCTCACTGCCGCTGCCAACAATGGCAACCTGATAACACCTGCAAGGTAAGATGTAGATTTTTGAAATCAAATTGAATATTGGTCTTGCAAGAAACATTATTAAATATTTATAATATGATACGTAAAAATTAACTATCAAACAAAATTTGACAAATTAAATTTTGGCTATCATAATTTAAAAACAATTACACGAAGCATAGAAAAAAGAAAACTCTTACATATTGCACAGACAATGTAGACTATACTTATAACGAAACAAGTATAGTCTACATTGTGTCAACAATGTTGGCTTACAGGCTGGTAATGAAAATCCTTTGAAACTTTTCAATAAATTTCAAAGGATCTTCATTATCAGCCTGTAAGAGTCTACTACAAAGAACTTCCCCAAATGTTTCAGTTCCCTATGTTGCCTCTTACGACACCCACGGGGTAGTGGATATTCTTACATCGACACAACACGGTTAGTTTTTATTTGTATTTTTACAATCGTACATTGAATAAAATTACTTTTAAAGATTTTATCGCGTTTAATTTAACTTATTTTAACTCCCGACAATTCGAGTGCTTTGCGCCACCCATTGTCACGGCATAGTAAAAACGGAATACTAGGATTTCTCTTGCGCCGCGCGAGTTTTAAATGCCTACTGTCAGTGTTGCCACTGTCTTTTTGCTTAACAGCTAAATCTCATTTAGTTTTATGAGTAGTTATAATATTTACAAACATAATACATATGGATACGTGTCTATGCATCATATTTGTTATTCATTTCTTTAGTTTCCTCTCAAAGAAACAATGTTTGTCAAAAACAATTCCAGCCTTACATTATAACAAATGCCAAATAACTAAAATACGAGTAAATTAACACCGAGCACACCGTATCAGCTCAAATTAAATTTAATGTTTAAAATTAATTTGATCTGATAATTAATGTACTTATTGGTATGTGTTATGTATATAATATGTAGTTATATAACCTATTAATATTTTTTTTACAGGATAGGATGACAAACCAGCACACAGTTTACCTGATGGTAAGTGGTTGCTGTGGCCCATAGACGTCTACATCTATCCTCGATTACGAATCAAAATGCAGATGCGTTGTCATCCGTGAAGACTTAGGTGGAATGCCTCCTAAAAATGCACCTGTAAAAAGGGTCTCCGGTTCTCTACACTCATCATTCGAAACACAGCAGTATTAAGCTACTATTTGACGCTGGTATTCTGTGAGAGCAAGGTACTTCCCCGGTCAAGGCGACCCATTCGTGCTACAAATATACTAGTAATATAACTGCAGCACGACTCTAGCACGTAAAAAACCTATTAATAAAAAGCTACTTTACTTAAACAAACCCATATATTAAATTATTTTACAAAAACCAAAAATAAAACGACAAAGACTACTATAGTATGCTATAGTATAGACTGCTATAAATATTTTACAGCTATTATACAGTACATATATCGTAGACAGAGAATCCTAGCATTCTAGCATTCTCTGTCTACGACATATATAGTTAACAAAGTCTCAAACAAAGGTGTGCAGAGCGCGGCGGGGGACCCGACTCGGCCAAACCTTTCGGACTTAGCAAGTGTCGTTGTACGCGTGTCGTGCTGTGGCGGGCTCGTCGTGGGCTCGTACGTACGAGTCCGTACTGTCAAGTGCCAGGCCACACACATGTTAGCGGCGTTCGGTTCATTTCTTAGAAGAAACCCTACTATTCTGTTTTTACTATGGTCAGGGGTTAAAGAAACGTCAAGTGTTAGTCCTATACCTTTAAACGAGCAATTCTTGTATATATATATATATATATATATATATATATATATATATATATGTTATATATATATATATATATATATATACCCGGTTGACCGAGCTTTGCTCGGGATTTTTCGCTCGGTTTTTTTAATTCGTGTGTTTTTGAAATTATATTTAGATACAAATTACATAATGATGAAATACGAAATAATATTTTTTGATCTTAGCGACATAATAGAAAAAACTGAACTGGTTATTTGAATAAAAAATCATGAGTGCAATTAGTTTAATTTAAATTTTCGTGTTTTTAAAAAATAATGAAAAAAGGGCTCGAAAAAAATAGATTTTCTCAAAAAAAGAAAGGAACTTGAAAAAAAATTAAAAAAGTCGGTCGGTCTTTTCTTAATTTTTTTTTTCAAGTTCCTTTCTTTTTTTGAGAAAATCTATTTTTTCGAGCCCTTTTTTTTAGTATTTTTAACAACACGATAATTTAAATTAAACTAATTGCACTCATGATTTTTTATTCAAATAACCAGTTCAGTTTTTTCTATTATGTCGCTAAGATCGAAAAATATTATTCGTATTTCATCAGTATGTAATTTGTATCTAAATATAATTTCCAAAACACACGAATTAAAAAAAAACCGAGCGAAAAATACCGAGCTAAGCTCGGTCAACCGGGTACTAATAAGTTAAATTTAATGTGATATAATCCTCAAAAGTAGTTTTATTTAATGTGTAGTGTTCGCGTAAATAGAAGAAGTCATTAACAATACATTCACAAAATAAACTTGAAGCCTACTTTCAAGTAGGTACATTTAGGCGGTGTTACTTTTCCATTGCAACATCTATTGTAAACAGAAAAATTAACTAGGAGATAAAAAGCAGGAAAATTTTAGTAAAGGACGACGGCGAAGACTAAAAATATTTATTTTGAATAATTAATATTCCATATCTAATTGTTTAATAGAAAATAATTATAGTAAAAGCACTCGTACATTCAAATTACAGATGGGATTTTGAAAATTAAGAGAGCAAAATTTTTCGGTCGGACAAGTAGGTATTAATGTACTAGCATAAGTTTCGGAATATTCGTTCAACTTCGATTGTAACTAAGCCAATAGCAGGGCTCATTCCCAATTATGCCACCGTATAATTTGAATGAGCGGTTATCAGTCACGATGTAACGTTGGATGAGACGGCTAATTTGCTACCGCGTTATAATCGCAGGGAACTGATCATTGCTCAGTGTATTTTTATAGTACCTATCCTTTTAAAGCAACAGAAGAAACATCCTTTTAGGATGAGCCTATAACTAAAATATAGATGTATTATAGAGCCTTTAACTAAAATAAAGTGATTTGAAAAGAGTATGTATTTAACAAAGAGATTTAAATATTTACTACTACTTAAATGTCTTTGGTATTTAATCACTACGCTTTAGTCATGTGCATTAGCATGTGACATATATCGTTTTGTTATTTAAAATGTCTTAAAGTCGTTTCAATATCTTTAATTGATAAAATGCTTATTTCAAAATTAAAAACGTTGAAAACTTTGTTTCATAAAGATAGGAAAATCCAATTGACATATATACACCTGCGAAACATCCAAGTGTCCATCATAGGAGCAGTGTGTGATATTGGAGCTAATTTGGCGTTGCTATTAAAACGAAATAATAAAATTTCAAGTTTGCATTTGTATGATAATTATGAAAAAGTAAATGCAATTGGGTTAGAACTAAGTCATCTACCTGGTGGACCTCATATATCATCATTTGTGGGGCAATGCATGTTGTCTTCTTCGATACGGTACTCCGATCTCGTTGTTATGGTTGACAGAATAGGTAGAAAACCAGGGAACGCACGAGAGCAAATGATTCCTTCTAATGCTCCATTAGTCCAAAGGCTTTGTAAAGCAATGTGTGAGCAGAATTCAAACGCAATGCTAGCTATTTCAACTAGCCCCATCAATTCAATAGTCCCTTTTGCTAGCGCGTTGTTGTATAAATATGGTTCGTATAACCCCTTTAAAGTGTTCGGGATTACACACCTCGACGTTGCAAGAGGAAGAACACTCACTGGGAGCGCATTACAAGTGAATCCTACTAAAATATATGTTCCAGTAATAGGTGGTCACTCCGATGAGACCATTGTGCCTTTGTTTTCGAATATATCACCAAATTGCTGTATGGACGACACTCAAACTCATATGTTGACAAAATTTTTAAGAAAATCTGGAACAGAAGTTGTCAATAAGAAACTGGGGAACGACTCTGCAACTCTGGCAATGGCTTGGTCAGTAAATGAATTTGTTGATTGTATCTTGGACGCGATACGCGGCGCCGAAGTGATGGTCAATGCTTATACTGCAAATCCTCATTTTGGAACGAAATATTTTTCGGGGCCAACTCTTGTTGGTTCAAATGGCATTATACAACCATGTTACGACTTTTCAATGAATGATTATGAACATGCTCTTTTAAATAACGCTCTTCCCATTATAAATAGAGACGTTATACAAGGTGAAGAATATGTTCAAATATTCGAAAGCATTTCAAAGAAAATATAGAGTATGTTATATGTTAAAAATATATTTTTATTGCAATAAATGTCACCAAAAATGTGTCCAATGTTATTAAATGTTATTATGTTCTTATTGCACGTTTAGTACGTGTCATAGGTTGAAATCGTCCAGAATGCACTCACATATTGCATTGAAAGAAATCCTTTCCTTAAGGTTGCCCTAGTCGATAGCTCGAACTAAATGGTGGGCGGGGTTAAAATGCATGCTATCTCAGTCGATATCACGTGCGAAAGCGATAGACGCTGTGATGAGCAGTAAGAAGCTAGTGCGCACACACATACACACTCCTGAATGACGCAAAGCGACGGCGTCATCGCGTACCTACACATTGCGATTCTTTTTTTGAATGACAACATAAACTCAAACCGCAATTGAAAGCTCCTTGTCGCAGTGGCTTAGCAATGATACTGCGCTGGGGGGCCGCGGTTTCGAATCCCATACGGAACAAATATTTGTATGGCCTACAAATAGTTGTTCCGGGTCTGGATGTTTGTCCTTGTGCAATTTATGTTTGTAAACTGCCTTCACGATACAGGAGAAAATCCTACTGTGGGGGTAACGTATTTTAAAAAGAAAAAAGAGAGAGGAAACAAATTGGTGTTATTATTATGAACCCAATTTAGTTGTTATTATGAAAGTTCTTATGTGAATTTAAGTAGATGTTGTTATTATATAATAATTTCATTGATTTGTTTTTACCTACTTTTTAACCGACTTCGAAAAAAGGAGGCGGTTCTCAATTCGTTGTTTTTTGGTTATGTATGTTCTGTTCATGGGGGGTATATTGCCATAGTTGCCACGCTTGGCGAGCTGGTTGGCAACCGCAGTTTTTTGTCGTACAGTTGGACTTACCTAGTCCGACTAGGTAAGTCCAACTTCGAGCGAGAGGTCAATCGACGGATTCAACTCGGCTGGGCAGCGTTCGTGAAATTACGACATATCTTCTCGTCAGGTATACCTCAATCTCTGAAAACTAGATTTTACAACCAGTGCGTGTTGCCAGTGATGACATGGATCTGAGACGTGGTCCTTCACTGTTGGCCGTATGAGGACGCTCAAGGTCGCTCAGCGAGCTATGAAGAGGGCTATGCTCGGAGTTTCTCTGCGTGATAGACTCAGAAATGAGGTTATCCGCAGTAAAACCGGAGTGACCGACATAGCCCAACGGATTAGTAAGCTGAAGTGGCAATGGAGCGGCCATATAGCTCGAAGAACCGATAACCGATGGGGAAGAAAAGAGTAAACGGATATGAGGAAGCAGTAAAGAAAAGGCTCCCCGAAGTATATATATGCCAGCCAGTGTCAGGATAACCGCTTTTTCGACAGCGCGTCTGATGTGAGTGGGGCTTTTATGTAGGTTAATTAAATAAATAAAAATGTTAGTTTGTAAAATGTTTATTGATTGTTTGTGTTCAATAGCGTTTTGCAATATTCTCTTACTACTTAGAAAGTTATCAACAATAGGAATTGTGTCACTGCGGGGACAAGCACAAACGTCTATCAAAATAGTAACGTACCTAAACGGAATAGGACTAACAGCACAAATTTCCTTACAAAAGTCCAAAGAAGACGTCTAGACAAGGTAAGTAATTAGAAGAAAACTACAATTTACAGATCGATTGTAAATCAAATTTACAGTAAGTCGTACAATTAGCGAAATATAAATAAAGTTTTGAATTATTTTATGATAGTAGATAACGCTAGTTGACAACTAAACACTGTATGGGATTGACATCACTGAACTAGTCAGGTGGTCAGTCCAAACAAATAAAAGGCGCGATTGTAGAAAGAGATTCGTTACGAAACGTTTGTAGGCTAGGGGGCTTGGCCTGATTATGCTATTGATAACGAAGGCTATAAAATATGTACAAATTAGAAACTAAATCCTATGTGTACTTATCTGTATTCATAACCCAATATCTGAGGTAGGTTGATGCGCTCCTTAATTTTTATATAGTTCGTATTATTCTATAATAGTAAATTAAATCTAAACCAAAATATATACTATAATACCATAGCAAAGCTACCACTATTTTATTTAGTAGTAGCTTATATAGTAGTATAGTAAATTATATATAAAAAAATATGAGTATTTCTAAGGTAAGGTTAAATATAAACAAATTTTGTGCGTCCTCCGTTCCGTACCATCTTACAAGATTTAAATATACATATTATTAACGATCAAAAAAAAAAGCCAAAAATACACGTTTCTTTTTCTAGTAGGAAACCATTTAATTTCAAATTTAATAATACTATTTGCTGTTATAGCGGCAACAGAAATACACGTTCTGTGAAAATTACAACCATCTACCTGTTACGGATCATGAGATACAGCCCGCTGACAGACAGACACACGGACAGCGGAGGCTTCGTAATAGGGCCCTGCTGGTTACCCTTCGGGTACGGAATCCTAAAAAGTACTTAGTTATCCACTCACATCTGTATGGTTCTTTCTTCAAAAGACCATAGACCATAGACATCTGCCTGGTTCTCGTATGACATGACCAATGTAATACCTGGACTGACCTCTCTGAGTTTGTTTCGGCAGATCGGGTGCTTCCTCTCAGTTTCATGTTTTTGTTGTGTTAGTGTTTTTTAAAAAAACAACTTACAAAACAAATTTTATTTATCATTGATTGCCCTTCTTATATTCTTATGTAAAAGTAAAGTAAAGTAAAGTTACAGCCTATATACACGTCCCACTGCTGGGCACAGGCCTCCGCTTATTTCTGAGAGGGTTTTAGGGCAAGTAATTGTCCGCCGCGCTGCCCCAATGCGTGTTGGCGAACTTCACATGTCTTCGAAATATATTTTTTTATTTCTCTGACATGCAGGTTTCCTCACAATGTTTTCCTTCACCGCCGAGCACGTGGTAAATCAGCACTTAAAATTGCAATTAACAATTTCATTGGTGCCGGCGGGGATCGAACCCGGTTTGCTCGCGTACTGTGAAATTTAAAGCGCACGCTAACCATCTGAGCTACCACGGCTCTTAATTCTTATGTACTTACATAAATTACATTAGGTATGTTAGGATATGAGATTCCTATACGTAAACACGATTATCGAAAATAGAATTACCTATTCTAATTAAATTTATAGATAATTTTGAGATTTTCGACAATCATGCTTATCAATGAGATGTTTTCGTTAGTTGGCAAATTAAAGTAGTTAAGTACCTAATGTACTACCTGTATCGAAAGTTCATTATTATGTACCTACCTGTTTTCAATTTTAACTACATGTGCTTCAACAAGCTTATGGGTACATTTTACCAGCTATATTCATCCCGGCTTCAGCAAGTGGACACATATAAAAGGAAGCAATTTTTCTAAATAAAGATGTAGATATGTAGGTATTACAACCATAAATAGATAGCAGCGGCTAACCTAGTGAGCATGTGTGGGAGCGCGCTGCGCCCCCCCCTCCGTCCGTCCCACTGATCGGGGAAACAATTTGTAGCGAAAGGCAAGATGATTTACAACGAAACGGAGCGCGCGAAATTTTATAAACAGACCTTTGGTAGTCTGGATGTCATGAAAAATCTATTGAATATATCTGTTCAAAATAAAATTATTTGCATTTTTGAACAACTAATCTACCCCCGTATGGTAACTGTTTTGCAATTTTCGTTCTTCTTATGGTATTTATTTCCCCCCAAAAATGTGTTAAAAATAGTGTTGAAATTCGGAATTTTCGACGTTTATAACTTTTAAACATAATCTTTTTTTACTATTTTGTTTCCATACAGGGCTAGATAATTATGAGACAAATTGAAATCATTTTTTATTTTGTACGTACATCATCAAATATTGGAGTAATCGCCAGACTACGTTTGTGTGGAAGAATGAGCGACTAGCGTCGATTCGAAACCAAGAGTTCTTTGCGTCTGAGAACTACGACTTAAAAATATTATAATTTGGATGTGTTGTGATTCTTTCAATGCAGTCATACATAAGTCTAATTTTAATACCCATAAAATAAAATTGAAAACACTTTTTCGCTATAAATCCACTTCTGAACGTACGTCTATATCGCCCATATTTGGCATTGTTTTGACTGCCTAGTTGTCCAATGGTTGTAAACGCGACTGCTGATCATGAGGGTTCAAATCCCGGGTTGGGCCAAAAAATCAGTTTTTCTGTCAAAAATTCTCAGAGAAAAAAAGCACCACGGAGTTCCTGACTCCGTGCTTATACTTTTTTCTCTTTTTTGAAGTGAAAATTTCTTTAGTATCGTAGTGATTTGAAAGTCTATGAAACAAAAAAGGAACAGTAAAAAGAGACAGACACATAAATTCATAAGATTTAACGTGAGAGAAAATGAGATAGGAAGCATTATAGCTCAATGTTCGTGAGAAAAAGGTCGTAAACGCCGCCGAAACTGCCTGAACATTTTGTTCAATCTCTCTTGCTCTTCGCTCATGTGGTACGAAGGTGTCGTGTGCCTTTGGAATAAACAAGCAGTGAAGAACGGCCAAACCTCAACTTCGTAATAGGTAAAATTGATATAAATCTTTTTGTAATTAGTGTTACATTTATTTACTATAAAATTAAATTTTCTTATGTATATGCCGAACTTGTAGTTTAAATTATAATATTAAATAAATCATTAGCCGTAAAGTATTTGTATTTTATATTTCATTTCATTTGAAGGTATCACTTATGTTGCGTGCTTGCGTGTGACCTGCACTCATGTTTTTTTTTAATATATTTTTCTGCTGGCGGTGTTTTAAACTGATGCCTCGGCAAGCTCGTTAAGCCGTTGGTCCTGCGCCTGATCTCTCTCCGATTAAGTCGGATTGCCATCCCATAGAACCATGAGGGTGAGGCAATAGATAGTAAATCTGTGCTATGCATAAACCCGGCCACTATAATTCATTCCTTCACGGATGGCAAGTTGTGTATTGGATGGCCACCGTGACCAAAATTCGGTCTGGAGGACTTCATTATTATTGCCATAGTTGCCACCAGTTTTTTTAATAT